GGTTTTGGCTGAAGATATTGAGCTTTTCCACTGCCTCTTGCGATAGATGTAGTCAATCTGATTCCTGTGTGTTCCATCTGGTGAAGTCCACGTGTAGAGCCGCCATTTGTGTTGTTGAAAAAAGGTGTTTGCAATGAATAAGTCATTGTTCTTGCAAAATTCTACCATGCAAGTTCCAGCATTATTTCTGTCACCAAGGCCAAATTTTACAACTACCAGCGATTCTTCTTTGTTTCCAACTTTTGCATTCCAGTCACCAGTGATAATTAACACGTCCTGATTCCATATTTGGTCAATTTCAGACTGCAGAAGTTGATGAAAAACAGTTAAGAGTGCTCATTTTCCCACACTTTTGTCAGCATTTTAGTTTTTCCAATTCAAAGAATAAAAAGTGTCTACTCATTAATGGTTTGCTTTGTATTTCCTTAATTCTGAAAAAGGTTGAGCATCTTTTCATATGTTATTGTGAAAGCAGGTGTTGGTGTCCCTGGAGCTGCCACAGGTGCAGGCCAGGTAAGCGAGCAGGGTCGGGGAGACCAGGAAATGAGCAGAACACTTTAGGACAGCTAAGGGAGACAAACTTGTCTGTCAGTTTGTTGTACTGTGGTCGCCTGAGTGTTGCTGTGAGGCTGGAGGCTATGCCACCAGTGTTTCAAATGCCATCAGGGTTGCCCATGGTGGACAGGTTTCAGCATAGCACCCAGACTAAGACAGATGCAGATAAAGGAAGAAGCCATCCACTTCTCAAAGAATTGGCCAGTGAAAACCTTATGAATAGCAGTGAAACACTGTCTGATGTATTACTGGAAAACTTTATGAGTAGCCCTGAAACATTGTGCGATACAGTGCTGGAAGATGAACCCCTCAGGTTGGAAGGCACTCAAAATACAACTGGAGAAGAGCTGCCTCCTCAGAGTAGAGGTGACCTTAATGATATGGATAGAATAAAGCTTGTAGGAACCCCTATTTGCTGACGTGGCATGTCTCAAGATGAGAAGAGACAGCTGCAAGCATCCATTAACAATCAGAACATGGAATGTATGAAGTATGAATCTAGAAAAATTGAAAGTTGTCAAAATTGAAATGGAATGCATAAAGATTGATATCCTAGGCCTTAGTGAGCTGAAATGGACTGGTTTTGGCCACTTTGAATCAGACGATCATGTGATCTACTATGGCAGGAATGACAAATTGAAGAATGTCGTGGCACTCATCATCAAAAAGAATATATCAAGATCTATCCTGAAATACAATACTGTCAGTGATAGGATAATATACATATGCCAATGAAGAAGACCAGTTAATACTACTATTACTCAAATTTATGCACCAACCACCAAAGCCAAAGATGAAGAAACTGAAGATTTTTACCAGTTTCTTCAGTCTGAAGTTGACTGAACATGCAATCAAGATATGTTAATTATCACTGGTGATTGGAATGCAAAACTTAGAAACAAAGAACTATCACTGGTAGTTGGAAAATATGGCCTTGGTGATAGAAATGACACTGGAGATCACATGACAGAATTTTGCAAGACCAATGACTTATTCATTGCAAATACCTTTTTTCAACAACACAAATGGTGGCTATACATGTGGACTTCATCAGACA